ATTTCTTAGTTTTTATTTTATTTTATTTTTTTGGAATTTAATTCCGCCTGGAGGAAGAGAAATAATTTAATTGCACAATTACCCATCTTATTATCATCTCACAACCTAATTTCCGAGCAGTAAATAAGGAAGGATTTGGGGAAGGAGAGATTTTCTTGCCATTTACAGCTCATATTTACAAAATAATGCCCCCTCAACTGCACTACAAAATTCATAAAGAAACAAGGATCTATTCTCCCAACCCCCTTTATCTTTAACCTTACAAAGCAAAACCATAAATTCAATTGCAGCTCTAAACCAATTTTTCTCTATCTTTTTCTATATTATTTCTTCTTTTGTGCATCACCACATTCACTGACCAACTTGATCAGACAATGGCACCGGAATAAAATAAAAAGAACCAACCACCAGCGTCTCAGGCTGTCTTCTCTGTTCTTATGACATCCATGACAGTGGCATTGCAAAAGAAACATCTCTGGCAATTCAGTAGATGTCTAGTTATGCAGCCATAGCAGGATTTGTGAGAACATGGCGTGAATCGTGCATCTGCTTCACAAGCATAACAGACACAGCACATGCTGTCATCAGCATCCGTTTCTTCCTCACATAAAATCCTTGCTGTCCCCCGTGACTCCATTCGGCTGATAAGGAGGCTTGAGAAATTTTTGAGCTGCATGAGCTCAGCTAGATATGCATCCCCTCTGAATGAAGCAGCCTGCAAATGGTTGGTGGAAAACATCAGTGGAGAGCATAAAGATATAGTTGCATTAGGAATTCAGAAGAAAAGTTTGATTCGGACAAATTATCTGACAGAACCAAAACCACAACTAAAAGCACCCAATTACACCCACCTACCTTCCCTTTAACTTAGGCAGACATTATATTATACGTTTTACTTTAACCAGTATGGAGAGAACCCTAAACATGGAAAAAAGGAGAAACGAAACTGATTGATCGTCATTAAATATTCAAGCTATCAACTTCCAGATTATTTAGCTGCAATTAAACATATTATAGAACTATTATGTAATGAGGAGATAACTGACAGCTTATACTCAATCAGTAAAGAATATATGAAATTAGACAAAATAAAAAGGCTGTAACTTTCAGGAAAGTACAGACAATAAAATGATAAATCATAATCTGTTATCCAGAATTCCTCCCTGACAAATGCTAGTCGGATACACAAACACACGAACAGATGAAGCACATAAATGCACACAAACATGTAATCATTCACGGAAGAAAAAATTAAGCTAGTGACACTAACCCAATTATAATCTAGCAGGTATTGGAATCCATAATGAACAGTGTCAGGGCAATCCATGCTTGCAAATACCCCAATGACATCATTCTGCCCCTTGCATTCTCCCTCCAGTCTAGCATCCAACAAATTCACAATGATACCCACTAGAGGGGCTAAAATCATGCCCCGGTTTACTTTCTCTGAAGATTGGCCATGCCGTCTAAGAGACCTGTAAACAAAACCCATAAGGGAAAATATAAGAGAGCAATGCTTGTGAGACCATTCAAACTTTTGGATATATAAGCAGAGAACTCTTTTGAACAAACTTCAAGTTACCAATTCAAATTAGAAAATAACAGAAAATTTTCAACATGGAAATGGGAGATGCAGAGTGAGGAGCTTGGATACATTTATATGCCCTGCTGCACACATCATTGAGGTTGCATTCAAAATCCAGTCAAGTCAAATATCACCCTCTCTTACTTTATAATGAATATAGTTTTAACTCGAGGATAAAAAGCAGTTAGCTCTGTGAGCAGAAGAGCTTACAAGTCAAAAAACTCAGCATCCGCTGCTGAAGTTGTATGGTTCAGAATGAAGATAATTAACTCAGTTAGCCTTCTAAGGTTTGTATCACTTCCTGCAAGAAATGCTTGTGGGATCTCACGGGTACAGAACTCCAACACCCTTGCAAGATTACATGATAGATCAAATATGACGCAGCATTTCCTCTGCTGAAACTCCAATACCTGAAAGAGTATGTTGAAAATATTTTTGAGAAAGTAGGATGAAAGCTCCAAAGGTACACAGAACTAGGAAGCTCCAACTGAAGCCCAAGACGGATAGACAAGCACTTTCTCACAAGAGACTGGGTAATACCATATAATATTACTTAAAATGGAAAATTCACACATTTTCAATGATTTTAATTTCTTTTTTCTGTGTTAATTGACAATAAAGCCCAAGCACATGCAATTATAGTAATATGATTGAATTACAGGAGGAAAGAAAATGTATAATGGTAACACAATGAGAAAAGGCAAAAACCCTGCAAAGACCAAGCAAATTTCTGGACATGGCCATGTAGCTGAACATAAGATGTAGAGTGAGCTTGGTATATAATATTTCACTTAGCAAATAGCAAGTATGTCTGCAACATGACACCAATGGAACAACCAATTCACTCAAGTGACTAAACAGAATTGATATTCTAGGTCAGGCTTGGTAATCTGAACCTGGTATTCTTCTTGCATTTCTCGGATAGAAACTGAGAATTCGGTCATGGTCCAGCTGAGAGTGTTGAAAAGGCGATTGAGAAAAGCTGAGAATAACCCTTCATCATTGATGCAAGCATCCCGCAGCAATCTCTATAAAAAATTAAAAGTCCCACAAAGGATAAAATAAAAGTTAATAATCAGAACAGACTACATGAAGAAGAGAGGGAAAAAGGAAAAAGAAGAATTAAAAAAATGCAAAACAAGCAACAGATTGTTCACCTGGAATATAACTGATGATGATTCTCCATGCTTAGAAGAACCAAATCCAGAACCCTTACATAGCCTTAAAATGATGTTTGTGACTGGAATCCAACGTCGGTTGTCAAATGCTGACAACAAAGCTTTGGGCATCCTCTGCTTGGCAGCTTCATTGCTCTCAAAAGCTGTTAAATATTCCTTGTACTGCACCAAGACTGATATTGATTGGAGAAGGAGATCCCTCAGATCTGCACTTGATATTCTTGAATCGTTGAAGTGGGTTACTACAAAAGTCACCTGTGCAAAAAGATGCAAAACTCAGACCAAGCACAAACCTGGACCAAAGGAACTGGACAAACCCAAGTATTACTTCACTTTTTACATGCCATATTCTTGTTGAAACATCTTAGGCTATAGAAATAAAAAGAGTGGTATACAGTCCAGGTCATAAAATTTAGGACTCTTAACAGAACCAATTCAACCATAATTCCATCACTGGGCAGATAGTATCTATTCTTTCTTCTATTTAGGCTTCTCCCACATAATGTCAAGAAAATTAACTGAAATGTTCACCGCATAAAAGAAGTGCAGAACACAAAAGCTACAGAAAGCTATTCTATTATTCTGCATCTGGGGTCTTAGAAAGGACAATGGAATACTCAAAAACAAATGCACCAGTCCGCCAAGGCCATTCTCAGTGAATGGCAATCTGTCTACATTTCCAAATACTTTCCCTACAATTTATTGAATGATTTTTAGAGAGTATTTTTCTTTCTTCTATACTCTATTTTATTCCTAAGGGATTTGCCCTTCCAGAGTAATTGACTTGCATTACTTGGTGCTTATCATATGATTATCCAAAAAAATGATGTTGACAGTCAGCAAATGGAGTTCCTGAAAATCATGAACATTATAACAAAAATGATCAAGACCCAGAGCCTCAAAACATCATTTCAGGCAAGTAGTAAGCATCCATCACATATCCATATCAAATATAGCATACTTCATATGAAATTGTAATCATTCACCATAATTGCTTCAAATCTATAACATATCCCCAACCTCAAATCCAACTTGAGATTACCGAAAACTTTTACCAAGTTATATTAACCCTTAGCAAACAAACTTAAAGTAGATCAAGGTAAAGATAACTGGAGAAAAGGGATTTAAAAAATAAAAAAACAAATGAGTGAGTGAGCATACAAATGAGGCAAGCCCTTGCTTGACAAATATTGCTGGGGGGACAAATGGAGGATCGCTCTTGCGCAACACATGAAAACAGTCAACCTGAAACAATAACAGGAGAAATGCTGACAATTGAAGAATTAAAATATAAAGAATCCTCAAAACAGAAAATCAACCCCAGTCCCCAGAAGTGGAACACACAGTATATTGAGAAATACAAAAAGTAAGTAATTAAACACAAAACTGAAAAAATACAATCACACAAGCATGCACACATTATATATCTTTCTTATATTGACATAATTTCACTGGTGGACCTAGCATTGATTTCTCAAAGACCCAATTCTTAGATTGAGTCTCACCCAGAAACTTCGTGTATTGATTTGACCATGGCTAATGAAATTTCAAGCTTTTAATAAAAAATTACATTCAGAAGACTGCATTTATTTAATAAAAATTTAGGAATAAATCAAATACAAAACTCAAAATAAGCAATTAAGGAAAAGTTCATGTCAAAATTAACTGCAAATCTACCTGCTATCAGTAAAAACAATTTAGTAAAGACCAAAATAATCTTATAGGATGACTATTTACCAGAGTTTCCAGATAAAACTCAGGGATATAACTGAACACTGAATCCAATTTGCTCAGAACCAGAAGCAATTGCACAATCCACATGCATGTTGCATACATTCCTCTTTGCTTCCACCGTGAACAGAGAGAGACACGATACCTGTAAAGCCAGTTAAGATATATATGGCATTCTTTTCTTACAATTGTCAATAAAAAAAGTCAAAGTATAGCCTCAACAGCTTAAGCCATGGCAAAAAAAGGAAGCAGAGGGGACAAAGCACATCCAATATCTTGAAAAGACTAAGATAAAAAAGCTACTATAATCTTGGTTATCTTACCATGCACAATGTCTGACAAAATCAATAACTTCTTCACGATAGTTACTACGAGCTTCTTTCAATTGCTTTACCTGCTCACTGCCAGCCCGTTCTCTTATTTGTCTATCAGTTTCTTCTAGTAATGATATGGATTGTGACTGATGAGAGATGTAATATGATGCCTACAAAAGGCAAAGAAAAAAAAAGGACTGTCATCATATTTTCACAACATTCACTAACAGCACAGGGTAAGGGGCCAGATTAACTGGCAGAGGAAGACAGTTCCCATATAATATGTACTGAAGTGAAACAAGAAAGTTTCCAATTTCTCACACATTCTATAATTTCAGACACAGGGATTATAATATAACCTTGCAGTTTGCAAGAAAAATAATGCTAATAGGCAAAAATCCATAAGGAAAAAAATTATTCAAATACATTTTGAATTAGAATGGTAGATTTGTTTATGTAATTAATAACAATTTACATTCTACAATATCCAGCTTAAAAAAATTATTCAAGCAAAAAGCCTGAAGGCCTTAACCAAAAGGTCTCTGTTGCTCCAGTCTCCAGTCCAGTCTAGTGATAGTGTGATACCACCAAAACCGATTAAAATGCAAAAAACTCACAAGTGCTTGTGAAGACATGGCCAGTTTCTTATTTCTGAAACTTTATACTAAGAGATATTGGCACATAAAATTCAAAAATCATTTCAACTTCTAAGGGTGGTTATCTATGTTTTATCAGCCAAAAATATAAGATTGAGAATTAATGGGTCTGCTAGGACCAGAAGTTTTTCATAGATTGTAACTGCAAATTAAAGAATAAAATCCTAATGCATTCTTGAGAGAAAATTTTCACCTAGTGAACTCTCTCACCTTCTTAAAGTTTGGTGCAAGACCTATGTGATACAACAGCAACATTGCATCCAGAAGTTCTTCCTCTCTAAGTATGGTAGAAGGCACATCACTTTCCATAGGTATAGTCCTCAAATGCAGGATCGGACAATAACCAAAGTCAGATTCTGACTGATCACTAGAGCTAGGTTTGTCCACTATCTCATCATTCAAACTTCCTGTACTGCATTCTGCTGCAACATGAGAAGATCTCTCAGGAATAGAGCTGCAATGGTTACGAGAACTTTTAGCTGTGTTTATTATTGGATATTTGGAGTTTCTTGTCAACTCTGCGTTATAGCTAGAGCAACAACATGGTTTCTGCTTGGTTAAATGAGTTACTCTTGTTTCTTCATCATCCATACACCCTTCTTCCCACTGTATTTTCTCTGCTTCCTCATCATATAAAGGATAACATTTAGACACATGACTAAATGATCCTCCAAGCCTGGAAATGGCGGCTCGATGAGGATCATTTTTGACAAATAAACCTATAGGGAAACTCTGCTGTCCACCTCTATGAAGAAAACCAACGTCAAGACCATTGGATACGCTGCTCTTCAACCATGCAGAAAAGTTCCCCATACCAAAGCCTTCAGAAAGAAAATGGAGAATAACTGTGTACAAGGAAACAAGAACAGAGTTGTTTGAAACTCCAGGAGGTGGGACATTACGATCTGCTCCTCGGTTTTTCAATAAAAGGTTCTGCATAAATGACCTGAACACTGAACCCGGAAACTGGGGAGGTGATACAGGAGGAATGAACTGCATCACTAAGAGACAGAGGTCTCTATGCTTCTCTTCAATCTAAAAAGTACAAATAAATAAACAATGTAATCAGAGGCTATTTAAAAATATGAATAATCAGAATATTCCAAACATTTTGATGTGTTACAGAAAATGAATACAAAAGATATAATTTTAAAGCTAGCAGTTCCACATGAAAAATATTAACTATCTGATAAATCTTGGATTATTGGGCTCAAAAGAAAACCTAAAATAAATTATTTAAGGTCAACTCCATGACCATCCACCACAATTAAATGAACTAACTTCTCAAAGTTCCTTATAAACAATTACTTGGGCAAGTCTGTCATCTCATTGTGAGGTGAGACTAAACACATTTAGTGTGCCATAGAGAAACAGAGATAAGCAAGGTGAAACTATGGTCCAATAAGTAATAGATAATAAAAAGGTCAATTCAAGGCGCAATTTTCACAGCCATTTACTTTTAATATTCAGTTCACAAGGACTTCAAACTTCCAACATCATTTACAAATTTAATAGTACTGTTTATGCTATCAAATCTACAAGAAGGCTTTTCAGTCTTCTTTTAAAACACTACTAAAAATTATAGAACTGGGATCTAGGCAGTAAAGCAGCCATCTCCAATAGATAAAGAGTATATTAAACAAATGTACAAAACATGATAAAGACATACCTTACTAACTGCTTCCGATAAAGCAGTGGTTGTCAACAACATGCTACTCTCATTGGAGACATCCTCACAAGAACTGGGCCACCAGACAGATGGAATCATGTATTGAAGGTCCTGCTTGTTTGGGCTCTTACAAGATAGAAAACCTTCAAACAAGTATTCAAAATGTGATGACTTCCACCACAAAACCATCAATTGTTCTCGTCTTAACAAATGGCATGCCAGTGCAAGATATGAATATGATCCTGAATATGGGCATTCTGTCAAAATGAGTGATGCTGTTTTGCAACCACATGAAATAGCATTCAAGATGTGCTCAAACATCAATTGTGATCCTTCAAATTCTAGAAAGACATCAAGAAATCTATCCAAACTTGAGCAATCATGTGGGACTTGTATTCCAAACAGCCCCATCAAGAATGAGAGTAATGGTCCCCACCCTATATACTCAAAACTCTGAGAATCTGCATCAATTATGGAGAAGAGCTCCTCACATATCCCACAAGAAGCTGGATGAAGCAGTTCTTCAGGTGAAACAAACCTCTTCAGTCTCCTCAGTTTTTCAACTGAAGAATGCTCAGCTTGCTCCATGCATTGCATTTCCAAGAGCCTGGAAAAGCATCCCAGCAAATCCTTAGCAAAATTGGCTGAAGAGGGGGGTGCCTGAAGAGGAAGATAGCCATCAACTGGGTATCTGAAAGGACGAGCACCAAAATTCAATTCACATCTTTCACCTTGAGAAAGAGAAATTGCAGGGTAATATCCAAAACCAGGTCTCATTTTCCGAATACCAGAGAATGCAACCCCAAGAGAGGCACCATTCCTATAGAATGAAATCTCATCCTGATCCAAATTTATACAGCATCCAATTACATCACCAGCAACCCAAGACTGACCATATGGCATAGCTTCTTTATTCCACTTGCTTCTTCTTTTACCATCAAATGCATATGAATCATCTGCATCACCAACACCCTTATGTTCGGTGAATGGACAGGAAAGGGTGGCCCATCCTAGCTGTTGTATACCAGAAGTTTCCAGGATTACTTCATACATCCATTTCCCTCTCCAAACATAGGCATTAGCCCTGGCACTGCTGAACAGTGCTAAGCTCTCTAAAAGCAAAGGTGGCTTAACGATTCTAATATTACCACAAATACTGAATTCTTCAAGACCAATGATACGGGAACCAGACCCATTATCAGCAATACAGACGCCATCTCTATTACCAATCAAATCATCAGAACTTGAGAAAAATCTCATGCAGTGATTCTTTATGATAGAACGGATTACAGCACTGTCAATTGGACCTGTAAGAGGAGCAAGTGATTTGTTGGGAAGACCAAATACATATTCAAGAGCTCGCTCCACAGGCTGGTGGCCAAAATCATCACAATTTGAAACAAGACGATTCTTCAATGGATTCTCTTTTCCATCTCCACCGTTCAATATCACAGCCAAACCAGAAGAAAGCCCACCAATCTGCCGGCTGTCTTCTGCCATTCCCAGAAAACAACAAATCACAATATCCTAAATTTTCCTCCACAGCCACATCCAGATTCCTTCTTAATCCAGAGTCAAAACAAGCTTTTAGAAACACCAATCCATTCTATTCAAATTTCCAAAATCCCACCATCGTCCAAACCCTGAAACTACAAGAGTCAAACAGTTATAAGTAAAAATCAAAATCAATCTACAACCAACCATTTTGGTGGAACAGTAAAAAAAGTTCATATAAATCATATATTTTGCAAACTCAAAAATCATTAAAAAAAAAATCGAAACAAAGAATAAAATTAACCTCATAAAATGGCTTTATTTAAGCTCCGACGCTTAAATCCATAAACCATAGAAGGAAATCAACCCGAATTTCACATTTCCACTTCCTTTCCTCAAAATCCTCGATAACCAAACGAATATAATCGGAAAAACAAACAACGATTTCAATAAACCAGCAGCTCTATAACAACAACAACAACAACACGGAATCAATGAACACCTCAAAACGCCCCTGAACATGAACAAAGCATGACAACAGCAGTCAAAAACAGAAATAGAGAACTCACGTGCACGAATCACGCTGCTTCAAACTCAAAATTCAAAGAGGCGGCGGCGGCGGCGTTGCTAGGGTTTTGAATTTTGTTGGGAATGGATTTAATTTTAATATTCAAAGAGAGAAAATCTACCAGGAACGCATATTTTTTCTTTTTTAAAAAAAGAAATTTATTCCCAAGAAAAAAGAGTGTGTTTAAAAAGAAGTGGAAGTCGCTCTGGTTTTTTTTATTATTGCCTAAGAAATGGGAACCCATCAAATGAACCAGAAAAACAGTGGCCAACGCACGCCGACTCGAACCAGTTGAGGGTGCGTGTGACTGACACGTGCGTGTCTTTTACCGGTTGATGACGTGGCTTCTAATGCTATTGTGTGGGACCTTGTGTACAGAACCGCCTTGCTTTGCAATTTTTTATTTTTGCTTTCTAAAGGTCAATGAATGGAACAAACGTTGCGTGTGGTGCTCGGACCGAATGCTGGCAATAATTTTGTAATTTATGTTTATTTTTTTATTTATTTATTTTACATAAAAAATAAAATATTCTAATATTAAAAATATCAAATATTTAATAATAATTCCATGTCCAATTTAATTAAATTAAAATTTTATATTATATTTTATATATTTAATAATTATAATTAAATATTTTAATATTTTTAATGGTGAAATGTCTCAATTTTTCATTTTCTCTAATTAGAGATACAGTATATTGTAGCTAGGGGAGTGGGGTTGTTTTGTGTTCGGTCCTATATTGTACCAAACGGTCCATACCGAGCTGAACAAATGTTCGGCGTAAACTTTTACTACAACTGAACAAAATTAGACCGTGTTCTTTTAAAGAGAATCTCCACTGCACTCTATAAAATTATAAAAATAAATATTAAGTAAATAAATAACATTTAATATTAAGAGGTTAGCTTGAGGTTAGTCTCTATTTAATAGTTCAAGGTTGCATTTATAGTTATTTAATAGTTTAA